CCTGCCCAAGGGAAAGTTAGTAGGTTGTTAGGCAAAGGTAAAACCAATGTTGGGCCTTGCTGGAGGAGTTTTATTCAAAGCAAACTGTCAAGGGGGTCCCATAAATCACCCAACCGCGTAAGGAACGCAAAATCAAGGAACATAACACCGGTATGACGGAAACTAGGGCGGAAAGAGTGGAACAAAACACCAGGCATAAGGCCGAGCCTTCCACCCTTTACCAAGTATATATATGCATTAATTAAGTAAGAGATATTGTGGTATCCCAACATAATCCTATCCACCATGGAGCAACCTTCAACTTCACCTGCAACTAACAACGCTATAAGAGGGGCTGAGCAAAGCGGTAACATAGCCAAACAACGGTTTGCTAGGAAGGGTGAAAAAGGTTACAGGCTCACATGGCAAATTGGGAGGCTTGAAGAACAAGTGATAGGTAGCGCAACATAGCGATAGAACGAAGCAACTAGCATAGCAATGATAGTAGTGAGATCCAAGGTAGCGGTCATCTTGCCTGAAATCCCGCAAGGAAGAAGAACGAGTTCATGAAGAAGATGAAGCCACGAAGATGAACCAAGCGTAGACGAACGAATCCTCACGATCACAACGAAACAGGAACTAACGAGAAGGAGCACAACCGGAAAGAAGCAAACAACAAGGTAAACACACAACACATAGACATGGCATGATGCACAACCAATCAAGATGCATGACAAAGGCTACCTGAAGCTACTCATGGCAAGAGATGATGCATACCAGAGCAACACATCAAATCAAGTTTAAATGAGGCCGAAAACAATATAGAACTAATCCGGTAAGTCCTCATATGCAAATTTCGAAATTGGCCCAGATCTGAATAAACCTTATGTTCAAGTTGTTAAACATCAAGTTAAAATTCACCAAGATGATCTACATGAATTTCTAGTCAAGTTTCATATAAGGTTCATTTAGTCCGGAGCTACAGCGTAGAAGATATGAGCAAAACAAGTTAACCATGACATTGATGCAAAATGCATACAAACATCAAGAAAACACTCCCAAAACATGGATGCAACATGATAAGATGAAACTACATGCAAAATCAAGCAAGTTTCATATAGAGCACACTCAAAACGGAGCAACGATTCAACACATACACATGAAACAAGTTTAAAGGACAAGCTGTCCAAAATAGCAACTAGGAATCTAGCAAGCATCAAAACAATATGCTACAACACCTCAACATGAAAACAAAAAGGCATGGGCATGATGTACAGGTAAAGCACGACAAAGCATGTACACTGAGCTATCTCCAGAAAACACTATAACATGCTCAAAAGGACATGGCAAGATTGCAAATAATAACAGTTTCACAGACTTGGCAGAAATCACTGTGCATGGCAGAAATTACATCAGGTTGCAATGTTTAGAGCTATCAAAAAGTATGCTACAGGAACTTAACATGGCAAACAAAGGCACGGCATGCTAATACTAAAGAGAAAGAACAAAACTCCCTTACTGAACTAATTTCAAAGATCAACAGAAAAGATGGTAGGATCCATGCAAACATGGCAAATAATATGACAAATTCAGAATAACAGTACATGGGAGGAACAACGATAAGTAGGCATGTTGGTGAGCTTGTAAAACTTACCACAGAGCAATACCTGGCATGACAAGGTAACCAACAGTAATAAGACATGTTTATGGAGCTAAGAATGGCAAGATCAAGTCCATAGGGTACATGGATCACTAGTTATTGACATGGAAAAACTGAACTTAATGTTAACAGGCTGACAGAAACATTATTTAGCAATTTGAGAGCAAGATTACAACAAGCTACAACAGGCTATAAATGCAACCAAGGGCATGGATTGGTAGAGCACGACATGTATAACAAAACATCCTTAGTGAACATCTCCAGATTATGCATAGAATGACTTGTAGCAGCAGGTTTACATTGCATCATGATATAACAGATTCAGCCTAGCAAAACAGTAACAACAAGTACCCTACTACACAAGCTTGATGCACTCACCAAAAGGCATAAAAAATACATGGATTGCACCACTGTAAATATGGCATGATGTAGCTCAAAACTCGTAGACATCAAGCCCATAGGATGCACACACAAAATGCAATGAAAATGACAAAACAGAAAGTTCTGTTAACAGGCAGCAGTTAACATCATATAACACTCTTGCAGCAATGGTAAGGGTATCAAGATGAGCTCAAACAAGCATGGCACAATGTAATGAAATGAATAGCATCTCATGGTGAACATTTTTTTATATTACACTCACAAAACGGAGCTACATGCAAGAAGTTATGGCATGATGAACATGGCACCAGAATGTAAGTATTTGAGGGACTTGGTGAAAAGTCTCACCCCGGAGAAAAGTGTACGGAGGGGTTCCGGGACGGAGCGGATCCGGGACGGTGGGGGCGTTTGGTTCGGTGGCTTGGTGGATCTGGTCCACCCGACCAGATTTGGCGATGGGCGGCGCTCCGGCGATCTTCCGGCGAGGCGGCGAGGCCGGCGAGGGGCTCCGGCGAGGTGGTGGCGCTGGGAGGTGCGGGGGTCGGTGGCCAGGGACGAGTGGCGCGAGGAGGTGACGACGGCGGGCGACCGGAGCGGAGGGGTCGCGAGGCGGCGGAGCTCCGACAGCGGGACGCGGGATCCGGCGGAGGGGCGCGGGATCCGCGGTCGGCGGCGGGGCGGCTCCAAGGCGAGGCGGCAATCGGAGCGGAGGAGCACGAGCAGCGCGTAGATGGCGGCGGGGGAGGTCGGGGATGCGGCGAAGGGCGCAGGGCGGCACGAAGGGCGCGCCGGCAAGGGAGACGGGCGGCGCGCGGCAGAGATCCCG